TTTGTGTTGCTATAACAGAATTCCACAGAATGAGTAATTTATTAAAAAAAAAAAAAAAAGGAGGAGGAGAAAAGGGAGGAGGAAGAGGAGGAGGAGAGAGAAATTTATTTCTTACAGTTCTGGAGGCTGGAAAGTCCAAGATGAAGGCCCCCATATGGCAAGGACCTTCTTGCTGCATCATTCCACCAGCATGGCAGAAGGGCAAGAGAGCAGACGAGAGCAAGAGTAAAGGGGCTCAACTCATTCCTTTTATCAGGAACCCACTCCCTCATAACTCACCCACTCCCTCATAACTAACCCATGCCCTCATAACTCACCCACTCCCTCATAACTCACCCATTCCCTCATAACTAACCCATGCCCTCATAACTCACCCACTCCCTCATAACTCACCCATTCCCTCATAACTAACCCATGCCCTCATAACTCACCCACTCCCTCATAACTCACCCACTCCCTCATAACTAACCCATGCCCTCATAACTCACCCACTCCCTCATAACTCACCCACTCCATCATAACTAACCCTAACTCACCTACTCCCTCATTACTAACCCATTCCCTCATAACTCACCCATTCCCTCATAACTAACCCACTCCCTCATAACTCACCCACTCCATAATAACTAACCCTAACTCACCCACTCCCTCATTACTAACCCATTCCCTCATAACTCACCCATTCCATCATAACTAACCCTAACTCACCCACTCCCTCATTACTAACCCACTCCCTCATTACTAACCCATTCCCTCATAACTCACTCACTCCCTCCATAAAGGCCTTAAGCCATTCGTGAGGGCAGAGCCCCCGAGACCTACTCACCTCTCCTGGGTCCCAGCCCTCAACAACTGCTGCGTTGAGGATAAAGTCTCCAACACATGAACTTTGGGGGACACACTCAAACCACCGCGGACCGTGAACACTGAAGGGTACCTACGCTATTCCAACTGCCGCTATCCACATTGCTAGCTGTTTAAACCTCCTGCCGACCCTGAGCAGGTCCCCCTCACCTGCCACTCCTGGGACGCCCAGCGCTTGGCCACCCCTGAGAAGCTCCTCCTACCCTGTGCCCGTGTCTCTCCGCCAAGGCTCTCAGCTCTCCGAGGGCAGAGTGCCTCTTGCCACCCTGCATCCTCCACAGGACGTCTCTCTCCAGAGATGCTCAGGAATGTTTTATTAAATAAATGAACCTGGGAATAAGAGGCCAACCCACAACACCATGTAGAAGTCGACTGACCTCAAGGGAATGATTGGGAGGCGACTGAAGGATAATGTGGGCAGGTACCTCCAGAGACCCCAACCCCTTTGCATAAACGTGGGTTTGCCGTGTCTCTGGCAATGTAATGGAATAGTCAAAGGCCTCAAAAATTCTGTGACCAGGCTGAGGACTTGGAACTTCCCAACATTCCCACCCCCACTCCAGGGAGCGGCTTGGTGAGGGGGCCCCTGGGACTGTCCACCTCTGAGGCAGGAGGGGGACAAAGTGTAGTTAATAAATCAGCCTGTCTTGCTCTTGTCCCCAGAGGATCTGAAGCTCTGTGCTCCTCAAAACACTCTACTCTGGTGGCATCCCAGGAAATTCCAGTGACCTAAGATTGTTCCAAATGAAGCCACTCTCGAGTAGGTCCCTAGGGTGGAGAGGCCAACCTGGATACACCCACACACACAGAGGGCTCTCTGGGCAGAGGCTCCCAGGGGACCTCTGAGGGGAAGACAACTCCGTTATGGTAACACTACTGTCATAAGAAGAAATCAGGGAGTCTAGTCCACTCGAGAAAAAGTCCTAGAAAAATCAAACTTCAAATGTCTTCACACTATCTCATAGCCATTAGGATAAATACTATTTAAAAAAAAATACAGAAAATAACAAATGTTAGCAAGGATGTAGAGAAATGGGAACCTTTGTGCATTATTGTTGGGAATGTAAAATGGTGCAGCCACTATGGAAAACAATATGGCAATTCCACAAAAATTTAAAAATAGAAACGTCCTCTGACGCAGCAACTCTACTTCTGGGTATACATCGAAAGAAACTGAAAGCAGGTGAAGAGGTATTTTACACCCATGTTCATAGCAGCATTATTCACAATAGCCAAAAGGTGGCAACCCAAGTGTCCATTGATGAATGAATGGATAAACAAAATGTGGCAAATACACACTTTATTGTCAGAGTTCTCCAGAAAAATAACACCCATAGGACATATACAGATATATAAGAGGAGATTTATTACGGGATTTGTTCACAGAGGCCAGAAAGGCCCACCATATACCACCTGGGAGCTGGAGAACTAGGGAAGCCAGTGAGTGGCTCAGGCTGAGTCTGAAGGCCTAAGAGCCAGGGCAGCGGGGGCTGTGACTCCCGCACAAGTGAAGTCCCGAGGACCTGAGGGTGGAGGGAGGACTACCCGAGTCCAAAGGCCCAAGAACCAGGAGCTCCGATGTCCAAAAGCAGGAGAAGATGAGTGTTCCAGCTCAAGGAAAAAGAGAATTCGCCCTTCCTCTGATCTTTTTATTCTACTCAAGCCCTTAACAGATTGGATGATCCACCCACACTGAGGAGGGTGGATCTTCTTAACTCAGTCTACTGATCCTAATGCTAATCTCTTCTGGAAACACTCCGACAGACAGACCCAGAAGTAATGTTTTACCAGCTATCTGGGCATCATGTAGCCCAGTCAAGTTGACACATGAACCATCCACATACAATGCAGGTATTTTTGCTCATTTGTTTTTTTACTTCAAAATAAGATATGTGCAGTGTGCATAGGAATTTGTTCATAGTTTTGTTTTTTTTTAACTATAGTCCGGAACTCCAATGGTCTGAGGGACAGCGAACTGGCCCCCTGTTTAAAAAGTTTGAGGACCCCTGCAATGGACTATTGAAAAGGAAGGAGATTCTGACACGTGTTACAACATGCATGAGCCGTAAGGACATTATGCTAAGAAGAACATCTCAGTCACAAAAAGACAAATACTGGACGTTTCCATTTCTATGGGAACCTAGAGTAATCAGATTCATAGAGACAGAAATCAGAATGGTGGTTGCTGGCGGCTATGGGAATAGGAAATTATTTAATGGGTACATAGTTTCAGCTTTGCAAGATGGAAAGAGCCCTGGAGACTGGCTGCACAACCACGTGAATAGTCTTAATACCACTGAACTGCACACTTAGAAATGATTGCGATGGTACGTTTTACGTTATGTGTATTTTATCACAATTAAAATTTTTTATAAAAAAGTGTCCACATACATCCAAATCCTCGTTGCCCCATTGTTGACCATATGCTACTTTTTGTTTTGCTGTGATGTTGTCTCATCATCAGCTTCATATCCACCTGGTGCCAATTTTATTAATGGTAGAATGAGATTCAAATAAACTTTCCTCCAGAGAAAAGGTAAACCCAAGAAACAGGCAACTTGCCAGGGCAAAGGAATAAGAAAATAAGCAAACGCCGGCCCAGAAGTTTCTCCCTCTGCCTCTGCAGCCTGACCCTGCAGCGGGTTGGGGGGGGGGCGTGCTGTCAGGGTGCAAGGTGATCCTGACGCTGCTTCCAGAATTTGACATTTGGGGGAAGGTAGAGAGGACAGAGTGGACCTTGGACCAGGTCACAATCCACAAAATGTAGTATCATTGTCCTGCTGGGTTCTAAATGTTTCTTTCAATGAGTCACAAAGGTTAACTGGCAAATTTAAAAACCCTTAGGGTTTTCCTTTTATAGATTGTCCTCAGGAGACCTCTCGCTGAGTGTTCCCTCCATCCTTATTTCCAACTGGCAGCTGCTTCTTAGCATGTGTGTTTACAGAAATACCAGTAGTTATTGCATGTTCCTTTCCATGTGATTAAGCAGTGCCATAAAGCCGGGCTGGCTTGGAAATAGAGTTTTTCCTTCTGAGACAGCGCCAAAGCTGGTGGCGGTGTGGTGTGCAACCTCTGCCACCTACAGGCCACTGGTGGTATGACGCACCAAATGCCAGAGACTGGACAGGGCTTTGCCACCTGCCAGTGAACTGGCCAAAGCCACTGTCCTGCCCCCCTGCATGGCAGGAGGTGACTGGAAAATATGACCAGTTGACTCACACTGGAACCGATCTGCAGACCTGCGCTCCCCAACCAAGGGCCTTGATCACTTAGGCTATTATCTGAAGAAAGAGCTCCTTGGATCTCTTACTCTATAAAGGGCCCAGAAGGACACTTCAGGACGCAGGGACCATGTAGCGTGGCATTAGTCTATAGGTGTGTTCAGACTTGAGGATGAGTAGAGTACACCCCACTATGGTTTGCAACTTTTATTTATAGCATTGGCCATGTAGCATTTGGCAAATATATCTCTTTTGATCCTTATTAGCAGCTGTATAAGGTAGGTTTTACTATTATCTTAGAGGTGAGGAAACTGAGGCTCAGACAGTTTCAGTCATTGGGCTGAATGCCTTTCTGGTACATTCTGATACACAGAGGGAAATGAAGTGCTGTCGGAAAGTAGAACTATAACATAATAGTTCTCTTGTTTGTTTTTCAAAGCAAACACACCATCATAAATATATCCAAGTGTTCTCTTAACAGTCTGGAAGATCCTGTTTTAAATTTCCTCAAGCAAATCAGCATACCCAGCATTATAGCCCTGGTCTTATTTCCTGGTTCATTTCAAAAAATACATATTGACCGTCTCCCAGGTTCCAGGCAGAACAGCAGGTGAGGTCTACCATATCACCACCCATATGGGGCTATTTCTCAAATTAACACTATTCTTAACTCATGAAAATTTGCCACCACTAAGGATATTCATATCCTAAAGTCAAGTCACAGAAAATTTTGAGCAGTAATAGGAGCAAGAGTGTAAAATCTCCAAGTGTGACCACTTTAAACAGGATTTACACACATGAAAACATATATCCTGGTAGTTTTGTTTTTAAAAGAATTGACGGTGCCCTATTTAGAACCACACCTGAAATTTAGGAAAAGGACTAGTCGCCATAACAACCCTTCCAGAGACAGACCTGCTTCCTTCCATGAAGAAGACAGGCAGCCTCGGTTTGGCAGGAGATGGAGAGGCATTAACTCCTCCTCATGTCGTCACTGGCCTGAAACAGGGAGCCCAACGTCTAGTCGACCTGCAAGGAGAGCCAGGAAAACGTGAGAGTAGAATGCAGGTTTTTTTTTTTTTTTTTTTTTTTTTTTTTAGAATGCAGGTTTTAAGAGAGAATCAGATTGCTTGTTTCTGGGATCTTTATACTCAGATTGTGCCTGGGGTCCTCCCAGACTGCCTATAGAAGAGATTAAAAAGTAATACCCACATGCATTTATTTAGCACCTTATACCCATCAGAGCTCTCTGGTGGCCATTTTCATAGTAGATCTCATTGCTAAGCCCTGAAGGCTATAGGATGAATACAGTTATTCCCAGTAGGAGAACGAGCAGAGGGTTTGGGCTATTTGCCCAAAGTTCAAGGCAGAAACAGGAAGAAAATTCCATTTCCTGGTGCCATTCTCAAACATGCATTGGGTATTAAGCCCCACATAAAAGAAAAAAGGAAGCTCGAACTTGCAGGAATTTGGAAGGTGGGACTAATAAAAACTTCTTATACATAATCTCTCCCTTGACAATTTCCTTTCTTTTTGACTTTTAAAGAAATCTGAAAGTTGGGGTGAGAGGCTGGGAGTGAGGTAAAGGGGATGGCTTCAGGGGGATGTTTATGTTTGTGGGGGCAGGAGTAGGAGAAAGAAGTGTGGACGTCTGGAGAGAAGAGAGAGAAATGTGACCGGGGTGAAACCAAAAAGCCCACAGAAGAGAAGTTGCTGTCACTTTCTCCTCCCTACTCCGAACCCACTGGAAGGCCACCTTTTTGCCTTCTCAAGAGACCCGTGTGAAGTCACATGTTGTTCATTGGCTTCATGGCCAGGTCAGGGAGGATGAGAACAGCTTCCCCCACCCAGCCCAGCCACCTCTGATTATGCCGGGAGTCTCTCATGAGCCACCCCCGGTCCCTCCCAGAGACAGGCTGCCTCTCCTCTGGCCCCTCCAGACCCCACCGCACTCCAGGCCGCCTGCTCCTCTCCCACCTCACATTCCCTTCTCTGCCCCACCAAATTTTAGTAACCACAGGTGTCTCTATTGCAGCCTGCTCTATCTGCTATCTCACTGTCCTCTCCAGAGACCACCGTCCCCTTCATGGGAACTGGCCACGTTGCCATATTGAGGATGGTGACCTTTGTGAGCCTACCTAGTTTGAGTTTTTCTTTTTTCTGCTTTTATAAGAAGCAGGCATGTAGAAACTGAATTCATTTCATGCACATAAACCGAGACACCTAATTAAATTACGATGATGAATAACAGAAGAAAATAAGAAAACCGAAACCAGCATGAACTCCTTGAACAAGTGTTTTCTTAATTTAAATAAATAGAGGACAAAGTATATATAACCTCAGTCTTCCTGCCATGTCATTGCTCAGCAATAGTCAACAGGAAAACAACTTCATATTCCAGAGAGAGATGCCCAGAGAGAGTGCTGTTTGCCACAGCACTCCCGGCAGTGGCAGGAACTTCCCATAGCCCTTTTTTTGGACCCTGTCATTTGCAGACCCCCTGGGCACCATATCCACCATACAGAAACACCAGACTATATGGCCCAATAAATGTAATTCAGGATTGGGAGCTGCACGAGCACGGCCCTTCCTCACCTTGACATCTTACCACCAAAAAGCCCACCGAAGAGGAAACATTACCACGCACCCAAGCTCTATTGACAGGAGTAAACAATGCTTCCAACGTCTCTAAAAGAGAAATCACTCCTAGATTAATCAATGTCCATGAGTACATTTGGGCTGCTTAACAAATTGTCCTATAAGTACCACCCGTTATTTCTAATTAAAACATTATAAATTCCTCACACTTATGTACAATTCTCTCATACGTTATGGTGTTTGCCCTTCGAAAACCACATGAAATAGCTAAGCATCTAGCTTATTTTGCAACAGACGTTAAATAAAATTCTTACATGGTAGCAATTTAAGATGGTGACATTTTCACAATAATTTTAAAGTACAAGTCCCCAAAGTATCTATTGTCCTCTGATACTGCCGGGGATAATTTCCGCACAGTAACAAGGGCGCTCGCAAGCTGCCCGTCAGACCTGCTCCCACCAGGGGGCGCTCTAAGCCAACCTAAGCCTGTTGGGTCGCCACCGTCAGCGCCTGATGCTCACCTGGCAAAGCCTGCTGCTTGCAAACCCATCACGCAGCCCCGAGAGGAAGGGATTGCTACTCCCACTCTGTGCATAAGGAAATGGGGCTTGGCTGTGTGCGCCCATGAATTTGTACTCGGTGCCAAAGTGTCTTTATAATGACATCCTGGAACAACAGTACCTTCTGAGCACCACTTTCTCCCTAGGCATTCTCCGAGCCTCAAAGCCCTTTCTTTCTCGTGGATCTATGAGGGGAAAAGGAAAGGAGGCCTGGTTAAGACCACAGCCATGTTCCCTCCGCTGTGCAGAACGTCCTGCAAGGCATGAGTGGTCGGTCACAGAAAGAGAAAGAGGCCTTTGTGATCTAGAAGTCCTCATGCAGCCCGCCTGATGTGGGCATTTCTCATCCTTCAAGGAGGAGCAAGCAGCCATTTCCAGAGGAGAAGCGGAAAACAACAGAAGGCTCCTCAAGCCCAGAATCCTCTCCCACCCCAGGCTGCCCAATACCTCAAATGCCACATGGCCTCCAATGAGCCCCACCTCCCAGTACCAAAATAAGCCACTGTCTCTGGGTGAGTTCCCTCCTACATGGACTCTGGACATGGCTGTTTTTCCTTTTCCACCCATTTACTTTAAAGGTATTTCTGTCTTTATATTTACAGTGATTTTTTTGTAAATACCATATGGTAGAGTCTTGCTTTTTTAATCAAGTCTGGCAATCTCTACCTTGAATTCATATAGTACAACTTCACATCTAATGTAAGAAACATTAGATGTGAAGAGCCCAACCCCAGCTCTTGCACTGCTGTCATTAAAGGGACACTAACACTAATCTTTTTCTTGTGTTTGGGGACTGAGGAGTGGCCATTGTTTCAGGCAGTTTGGGTTCACCTTTAGGTTCACCTCCTGCAGGGCTCCAGCACCCAAGCCCTGCAGGGATGTGTAAGGCTGCCTGTGTTTTCACTGCCCACCACTCTCTTCTCCAGTGCCACTATCCCAGCAAAAGTCCAGGAAAAGGAGTTGTTGGGCTGAGAGATGGATTTTGCATTTGGAACTCTTTCAGACCTTTATCTTGCCCTGACCTGGCATGCTCCTTCTCAGCCCTGCTGGACATTATATATGAAACATGAAAGACTCTGAAATGTGGAAGGAAGAAGACAAACTGAATAAGGACCTCAGGACATGAGAAATGACATGGTTGTAAGTTCTCTGAGTTTTCTTTTTGACTTCTTATGTCTCCAATTGGGTGCTGCAAAAGCCAGCAACCCAGAAATACCAACAGCCACAGACAAAAAGCCCCAAGAAAAGTCTGTTCTTTCTGGCCAAATGACCAGGAAAACGTCAGCCTAACAAGGCAGAAAACTTGAGTCTATAACTTTTGTATAATAACCACCCTACTCCAATCAAACACCACAAAAAAATAAATAAATAAAAACCCACAATGTGACCCAGCTCCACATTTGTTAGCAAAGGCTGAGTGGAAAATCTAGATTTGTACCCTCTCATGGTTGCAACAAGACACCCTGCCCATCCCACCCCAGCCAGGATGATGTTAGAGAAGGCCAAAGGAGATCCAGGTATTTCATCCATGCCCCTCCCCCACACAGTGTCAGTAGAAGCTACAGTGAGATCTTGGACTTTCACTCTACCCACCAGTAATGGGGCATCCCTTTCCAGTCTCGGTGTTAACAGAGCCAGTGGGAAACCTGGACTTCCACTCCCACCTGGCATTAACAAAGCCATGCCCTCAGGCGACTTCTGGGCCCCCCCCCCTTCTCTTGGGGCCCCAGAACCTTGTCCAGGAAAAAAAAGAAAGAAAAAAAAAACCAGAAACAAAGCCATCCCCTCCTTTCCCTGCCAACACAGTGTCAGAGAATGCCTGCTAAAACAGAAGATTTTCAGTGGGCAATTATGAACATGCTTGAAACAAATCAAAGAATAAAAAGTCTCAGAAAAAAAATATTTTAAAAATAACCAAATAGAAATTTTAGAATTGAACAAAAGAAATCTTAAACACAGAAAAAAAATGGCATTTTACCCATAGGAGGAAAACAATTCAAATGAGAGTGTATTTCTCATAGAAAACAATAGAGACCAGAAAGGAGCAACACATATTTTTCAAGTGCTGGAAAAAAAAAAAAAGAACTGTCAATCCATAATTCTATATCCAGCACAAATATCCTTCAGAGATGCAGGGGAAATAAACACACAAAAAGCTGGGCATTTGTCACCAACCCTATTTAACACCCAAGTCACAGGAAGGTTGAGAGAGGGAATATTTTAAAGGAAAAGCATGGTTGTCCTCAATTTAGCCCTGCATAGATGCTGCCTGATGGAGAGAAGGAAGAAGGGAGACAGCCGTTTCTGCCGAGCCACTCCTTGCCCCCGTCCTGCAGTCCCTGCCAGTGATCCTCAGGGCCAGATCCCTGACCAGACTCAGCGGTGGGTGTGTTCTGTGTGCCCTCCAAATACCACTCTTACAATTTTTTGATTGCCATTATTTAAAATTTGGAAGCTTTCACATAAAGTTCTGGGTTTCTAGCTTCTCTTGAAGTATCATAAGCCCTGGACCTCCTGGAATGTAGGTACTCCACCCAAGCCAACATGTGGAACTGGGGTGACAGAATCGCAGCTCCGCTGACCCAGCACGCCCTCTCGAGCCCTCCAGCTCCAAGATGGCCTCCCATTGGGTGCTGCTGCCTGGTCCCACCCAGCATCTGCCGTGGAGTTCCAAGCTAGTGGCGATGCCAAACTTGCCTGCCCTTCCCCTATCTACCCTGGAGATTTCAAGGAACTAAAAAGTTTCCGACTATAGAGACTCTATAAATTAGTCCCTTCTTCCCTCTCCCCCAGCATATCCTCCAAGATTCATCTCTCACTGGGAGAGAACGTACCTGGTGTGAAGTCTGAAGGATGCAGGAGGCAGGAACCTAGACATCAAGCTGAAGAATGGCCCTGGCTTCAACCCCCCCAGCAGGCTGGACCTGGGGACAGAGAGCACAGACTCAGCCAGAGCGGTGCCCAGAGGGGGAAGTCCTGTGTGTGGTCTCACACTGCCTCCTGATGTTCTCAGAGACACTGTTTTCTGTTTGTTTGGGTTTTTTTCTTTTTTCTTTTCTTTCTTTCTTTCTTTCTTTCTTTTTTTTTTTTTTTTTTTTTTTGAGACAGAGTCTCACTCTGTTGCCCAGGCTAGAGTGCCATGGCATCATCCTAGCTCACAGCAACCTCAAACTCCTGGGCTCAAACAATCCTGCTCCCTTAGCCTCCCAAGTAGCTGGGACTACAGGCATGTGCCACCCAGCTAATTTTTTCTATATATTTTTAGTTGTCTAGCCAATTTTTTCTATTTTTAGTAGAGATAGGGTCTCACTCTTGCTCAGGCTGGTCTCGAACTTCTGACCTCGAGCAATCCTCCCACCTTGGCCTCCCAGAGTGCTAGGATGACAGGCGTGAGCCACTGCACCCGACCTCACTGTTTCCTTATTTATCAATTTATGACTTGAAATGAATGGGTTTCAAATGACTTTTAGTACTAAAACCTTTTTCTCAAACTAATTTCTCCACTAGATGAAATAGACACAAACAAAACTGATCTGCTTGAACTGAGGGGGAAAGGCAATTTGGCCCCCTTATTCAACTTGACCCCCCCCATGCAGATGCATACCCCTACTTCCCCCACAAAAAAAAAACACAGCACCTCAGAAGCAGAAAGCCATCCTTGAGTGCTGCCATGAACATAACATGCCTCACCAAGCAGCTTGTTCCACTTGGGCCCAATTCTGTTCGTGTAAAAACTTTCCTGCTATTTTCAACAAGGGTGCCAAGACCATTCGATGGGCAAAGAAAGGTCTCTTCAATAAATGGTTTGGGGACAACTGGATAGCCACATGCAAAAGAATAGATCTGGGCCCCTACTGACTGAGTGTGCTTTGTACTGCTATAACACAATACCTGAGATGGTATAATTTATAATGAACAGAAATTCATTTACTCACAGTTCTGGAGGCTGAGAAGTCCAAGATCAAGGTGCCAGCTCCTTGCAAAGCCCTTCTTATTATGTCATAATGGCAGAAGGACAAGAGAGGGAAACAGAGAGAAACACAATGGGGCCAAACAAAATCCTTTTATAAGGAACCCAATTAGAAAGGACACAAACAGACATTTCCCCAAAGAAGACACACAAATGGCTAATAAACACATCATTTGCCATCTGTATAATGTTGAAAAGATATTCAACAACATTAGCTATTAGGAAAATACCAGTTAAAACAACAACGTGATATGGTAAAGTAGAAAACAGTGATAACACCAAACACCAGCAATTCAGAGAAACTGGATCACTCATACATTGCTGGTGGAAATGTAAAATGGTAGGGCTACCCTAGAACAGAGCGTGCCAGCTTCTTACAAAACTCAATATGCTCTTACCGCATGACCTTGAAGCACTACTAAGTGCTTCATAAAAATGAATTAAATGGATTCACCCAACAACTTGGATGGAGGGAATCATGCTGAGTGAAAAATTCCAACCTCAGATTATATATTATTTGGTTCCATTTTTATCATACACTTCAAATAGCAAAATTATAGGATTGGAGAAGAGATTAGTGGTTGCCAAGGATTAGGGAGGAGGGAATACATGGGAAAAGAATAACACGAGGGATCCTTGTGATAGAACTGTTCTGCATCTTTATGGTGGTCACACAAGTGTACACATGAGATAAAATTGCATTGAACTAAATATACATACGAGTGTATTTAAAACTGGTGAAATATGAATAAGGTCAATGGAATGTATCAATCTCAACTTCCTGTTATGATATTATATACCATAATTGTGCAAGTTGTTACCACCGGGGAAATTTGGTGAGGGGTATTATAGGACCTTTCTGTATTACTTCTTACAATTGCATGTGAATCTACTAATATCATACGATTACCGCAAAATATAAAAGTTTAAAAATGTTTTAATATGGTAGCTAAACACAAATAAGAAAAAAGGCAATTAAAAAGTATACTAGTAACTTTTAGTATGGATGAGGGATCAATCAACTTTTAATTTTATATTTTCTCAATTTTCTAATATGCAGTTATATTGTTTTCATTTGGAGTCATTAATGGATTTGATTTAACACAACATGAGGAAATGTTGCGCTAAGAGGTGACACCAGTGTTCAGCCCTGGATGCTAGCCCCCTTCCCTGTGAGCCCATGGCCCTTTCCTTGAGTGTCCTTTATAAACCAGAGCAGTTCCTCCTGGAATGGTGTGATGTCACCGGTGAATCAGGACAAGTGCTCCGGAATCTTGGAAGCCATTTGATCCCGAACACCTGGCTATGGCCAGTTCTCTTTTCACGCTGTCGTGAGGCTGCGCTCTGGGTAAGTGAGAACCAGCGTCAAGGGCCCGGCTCCTGAGAGAGTGCTCACTCCTGTAGGCGTCACTCACTCCCGTATTGGACCAACTGTGGGATCCTGAACTCTGTGTCCCTGGGGGGGTCTCAGGGGATGCGGGAGGGCTCGCCTGTGAGTAGTCTCCAGATCAGTGACTGGGGTGCAGCAGGAATAAAGACAGGTCTTGAATTTTGGAGGGAGATGTGCGTGCGCCAAAGAGAGAGTCAGTGAACACGGAGGCGGGAGGGCTGGGAGGAAAGCCGACTCCCACAGAGAACGGGGCCCTGGTGGCTGCTGTGGGAGCCTGGAGAGCCACGGCACCATGGGGAGGGGCGAGAAGCGAGCTCCGCCAGCCATGGGGCAGACGGCAGTGAGTGACATCGGCCCTCGTTGGGGGCTGCAGGGGCCTTTTCTGATGGGGATGCGGCACTCTGGTCATATCTTTGGGCCATATCTTTGATTGCCCATGAATTTATAATGGTTCATAGGGACGGGTATTTAGATAGAGCTGACATGGAAAATAAGTATGTCAGGCCCTCCAGCCCGGCCCTGCTGGAAAAGTAACTGCAGCTCAACTGTTGCTGCCACAAGCCATTGTTTCTATGAGGGCTCATCAGACACAAGTTCTAATCCCAAACCCAAAGTGCTCTAGCCAGAGCCAAGAGACAAGCCCTAGACAAGTTAAGGCATCTAGTCTGTAAATCATGGAAGCTATAGACTTTACCTCACAGATTATATGGATTAAGTGGGGTAATTCTTGGTACACAGACCAACATCTAGAGTTTAATAAGCAGTCAAGTAACTGTTAGCTCCTGCTATTGCAATTTTAATTATTGTTATGTTTCACAAGAAGCAGGTTACACAGAAAGAAATAACCTGGTTGGAATCAGGTTGGGTCACTTACATTTTCTTTTGTATCCAGATAAGACAGGATCCCCCTGAGAGCCACATTGGCTGTCTCGGAGACTGCTCCAAGCCAACAGGACCCAGCGGAGGAGGGCCAGAAGAGAAGGGCATGCATGGAAGGAAAGGCAGGTGTGTGAGGCTCTAGGCTCTAGGCTCAAAGTGGGCATAGAAACAAACAGCATATACACATAAGTTGAACGGCATGCATGGAAGGAAAGGCAGGTATGTGAGGTTGCTCAGCCTTCACCCTGGCCTCTAGAGCACCATCTCTCCTTCTTCCCTGGACTCTTCTGAGTCATCTTCTGCAGGGGGATGGGAAGGGGCATCAGGGTGGGCCCGGAGGTCACCGTGTTGTTCACTTTGGTAGCTATGGAAGACAGAAGGTCAGAGAGCTCCACATATGTCTCCATAGAGGTGTCCCCTGGGCAGCAAGAGCCATGTAAAGAGGCACAGGACAGCAGCCTCTGCCTGGCAAAGAAAGGTAAATAAATAACGCCTTTCTACGTACTTTGCAGATAAATGCAAAGGGGATGATGACCATTCCTCTCTTGTTCCCTCAGATGTCACATGCAAAATCCTCAAGGTGGGTGAGAAGGGAGAAGCTCAGCATTTCCCATGGGGGGGTCCTCCCAAGATCACATGGGACCCTCTCTCCCTGCAGCTCCGCAGAACAGGAGCCCTCTGGCCTCAGGTTCCGCCTCTTCAGCGGCTGCCCCTGAGCCGAGAACCAGGAGGAAGAGGGGCCGGAAGACAAGGAATTTGGCGGGTGTGAAGGCAGGTGTGTGTCCTCCTCATCCCTCCATTTCTGCATTCCTTCAGGAAGGGTTGGTCACTGCTGAGTAACTACTTGTCCCCTTGTCCTTGAGAGGCAGAGTCTCATCTGCAGGATGAGCTGTGAAGAAGGGCCCAGGACTGCCCAGGTGGGTCACGTCCATGCTCACATGGGTCCTTTTGTTCCCACAGCTACCTATGAGAGTAGCCCTCCTGCCTCCAATTCAGCCTCCTCAGAAGCTGTCTCCGAGCTGAAGTCCTGGAGGAAAAGAGGGCAGAGGAGGAACATATGGACTGTCAATCATGTTGAGGGCACAAAACTCAGGATGAACAGGAGGAGAAGACCCAGTTACCGCCCTGAGGACCAAGAAGCCTTCTACCGGCTTCTGGGTGTGTTCTCTGAGCTGGTGCAATACTCAGGGCCCTGGGAACATGCTCAAATCTCCCCTGGGGCTCGAAGACGTCCAGGTGGCAGGGATGCAGAGAGACTCTGGTTCTGTATGGTGTGACGGGCCAAGCTCTCAGAGGGAAGGAAAAGAGAAGCTCACAGCTGAAACACCAGGGGCTGCATTCTCTGCCCACACACACCCATTCACTGATTCCCACCAGTCAAGATTTCAGGGATTAGTGATGAAACAACAGGCGAGATCTTGCTTTCTAGGCTCAAAGTGGGCATAGAAACAAACAGCATGTACAGCATAAGTTGATCTCAGCTGATGATAAATGTAGAGAAGGAAATTTGTTTAAAGGCATGAAGGGCTAGGTATGGTGGCTCACACCTGTAATCCTAGCACTCTGGGAAGCCAAGGTGGGAGGATCGCTTGAGGTCAGGAGGTCGAGACCAGTCTGAGCAAGAGCAAGAGCCATCTCTATTAAAAATAGAAAAATTAGCTGGTGGTGCATGCCTGTAGTCTCAGCTATGGGGAGGCTGAGGCAGGAGGATTGCTTGAGCCCAGGAGCTTGAGGTTGCAGTGAGCTGTGATGACACGACTGCACTCTCACCAGGGTGACAAAGCAAGACCCTATCTCAATCAATCAATCAATTGATTGATAGTATGAAGCCTAGAGATGGGGTGTGAGCAAAGGCAGGAGAGCTTTATGAAATAGGTGCTCAGAAAAGGTCTGTCTGAGAAGGTGGCACTGGGCCCAGAGATGGGACTGAGTGTGGCCAGTTTGGGGGCAACACAAAGGTCACACTGTCCAGTACAGCATCCACTAGCCACATGTAGCTAAGTTTAATTTTAAATGAATTAAATACACTTTTAAAATTCAGTTCCTCAGTCTTGCTCGGCACATTTCGAGGGCCTGGTAGCCTCACAGGGCTAACGGCTACCACGGCTCAGGCACAGGACATTTCCCTCATCACAGAAAGTGCTGCTGACGGCACTCTGCTGAGGCCGGGCTGACTGGAGAAGAGGCAGAGAGGGGAGTGACTCTGGCCCGTTCAGAGGACACCTCGAATCACAGAGGAGGCTCCCGGGGAGGAGGGAGGCTCGCTCATGATCTGCACCCGCCACGGCCCGGGTGCTCAGTTGGCAGTGGTGCAGGGAAGCCTGGCACAGTCACAACATGATGGAGGGACAGGCTGTGGTGTCACAGTGGCCAGAAGCCACATCCAAGCTTTGGGGTTGAGAACTCGGTCACGTCTCCAAAGCGAATAAATATATTCTGTGTTGAGGACTAAATAACAATAGCAAAATTCGAATCCCACAGTTGAAACTCAGTATGTGTGTGCCAGTGGAAGAAATGACTGCTGTGGCCGATATTAAGGCTCGTAACTTTCCGAGAGGAGAGGCAGTTGATCCCCTTGCCACAAGACAGAGGCACTGGGAGAAGCTCAGTTTTGCTCCTTCCCCCTGAAACACCTCACAGCCCATGTTCGGCCCTCCCAGAAGGGCTGCTCCAGGCCCCATCGCATGAGTCTTCCTTCCTTTGCAGAGGATCCCGCCATCCAGAGCTTCCTGGAAGCTGACATTTTCCTCAAAGTGTCTGACAAGGTACCCACAGAGCACAGTGATGGGCCGAGGGTGTGCAGTCACCAGCCTCGAGGTTGGGCAGGGAGGATAAGCTTTCCATCTGGGCAGGAGAAGCCCGGGAGGGAGGACGGGCTCTCAAAGCCAGAGGAAGGCAGCTCGCTGCACGACCCTGCCCTGCCCCCAGGGCAACTCCTGGCAGGGCTTCCCGCCAGCCCATCTCCACGTGGCAAACGGATCTGAGACCTGCAGCAAGTGCCACCCTGAGTGGTTTTGCTGCCGTGGGCTTTGGATGAGGGAAGGTACCGAGGCCCATTCAGCACACTCTCCCTCTGTTCACCCCTGGCCACCCTCACAGGCCTCTGTCTCCCCGCAGTACCTGCTGTCCATGGTGGTGGAGTACTTCGGCCGTGTCGGGCTGCCTGGACACCTCTACAACAGGATCCACTTCTTCCTGGCCCTGTGAGCACCTCCCGAGGGACCAGCTCTCAAATCTGCCCAAATCCCTGAATTCCACGGCCTCCACTACCCCCATCAGGGCAGCTCGGCCATGCCCATGTGCTCGAGGGTCCCCAGAGGTTGTTCTTGGCCACAGAGCAGACAAGACCCTTAGGGCCCATGGGGTTGTGGGGGAGAGGAAGAGGTCCTGGGACAATGAAAATAGCCAGAAACGCCTCTTGCTGCCCAGAGATGGAGCTACCTGAGGGGGGAACCCCTGGGAAAGGACAGGCAGCCAGAACCTTGTCCTGGGCCGAGCACAGCAGGGGCTCTGCAGGCTCTGTGTTGAGGACACTCTGGGGCCCTTGCAGATCTGGGTCGCCCTGCGGCGAAGGCTTCCCTAGACCCTCTCTCCTGGACACTACCCCCCTGGCACATGATTCCTCCAGTGTGACCTCTCCCTCCTGTCCCGCCTGACGCCTGAAGTCGTGGTTAGGGACAGGCAAGCACCCTCTCTCTTCCTGGGGCAGCTACATCGCCTCAGACATGGAGGAGGACAACCCCATGTCCAAGAGAAGCATCTTCCAGTTCCTGCTGGGCAAGGAGCACTGGCCAGACCTCTACAAGGACTTCCTGAAGCTGAAGGTGGAGTTCTTCCACGCCATGGGCCACCGAGCCTGGGTCACCCCGGAGCTGTGTGAGGAGGTCTGTCAGGGACGACGGCTGGGGAGGCTGGGGGATAAGGGGTACACACACCCCAGAGATGAGCAGGGGCTGGGCCCTTCCTCCAGGAGCTCACTGCCCTGCGTTTCCCTCCAGATCCAGGCCCAGAACCCCCACCACTGGGTCTGGAGTCGGGTGCGCCAGTGCGCTCCCTAGTTCCCAGGATGTGGGAACGACCAGCTGGGCCGTGGATCGGGGGCTGCAGATGTCCAGGTGAGTGTGAGCCAGCCCCATTCTGTGTCCCTGATGTCTCCTCCTGGGCTGGGTGGGCATGAGGAGGAGGCCTGTGCATCGTTTTAGAGTTTCTTCCTGTATATTAGCATAGTGAATGCTCTGAGTATTTATATCAAAACTTCTTCTTCTTCTTCCTTCTTTCTTTCTTCTTTCTTCTTTCTTTTTTCTTCTTTCTCCTCCTCCTTCTCCTTCTCCTCCTCCTCCTCCTCCTCCTCCTCCTCCTTCTTCTTCTTTCTTCTTCTTCCTTTTTTTTGTTTTGAGACAGAGTCTGCTCTGTTGCTCTGGGTAGTATGCAGTGGCATCATCATAGCTCACTGCAACCTCCAACTCCTGGGCTCAGGCGATCCTCCTGCCCTCAGCCTCCTGAATAGCTGGGACTATAGGGCATGTGCCACCATGCCTCACTAATTTTTCACTTTTTGTAGAAACGAGATCTCCCTGTTGCCCAGGCTGATCTCGACCTCCTGACCTCAAGTGATCCTCCCACCTTGGCCTCCCAGAGTGCTAGGATTACAGCCGTGAGCCTCCAAGCCTGGCCTCCAAATGAATTTGATTACAGGATCATGTACTATGCAACACAATATCTCAATCTGCATAGCAAATATTTTTTTTTAGGAAAACCCTTAAAAATGCTATTCTCGGTATAACCTCTGCAGGGTTTTGACCTGAGTTGAAAATTTAAAACATAAATACATGAAACACACTAACGTCATCCTTTCTGGAAAAGGGACTGTCACCATGGTAGCTCTTTAGAGGAAAGAGAGGGATAAACCCCAACATTTGCTCATATGTTGTGTGTGTCCTGCTCCCACATGAAGCGCACTGCAATGGGTGGGCCTTGAAGGATGTGTGCAGGCTCTCGCTTCTCACGGGCAGGAGCTCCCAGGGCTCTCTGGTCTCTGATCAGATCACTGGAAACAAAAAGGAACAAGCAATATACCGAACTGTGAGGAGAGATATAACAGATGATATATTTATAGAAAACCATCTGTCTCTAACGTCACGCTCTTTAGAATGAAATTTCTTTGGTTTGAATTTGGCCTTTATCCTTGGATTTACTTGAAGTGGAGGGAGACCTCCAAGGAAATGTATAAGGAACCCTTTGCCTGGGCAAGATGCTTGTGCTAGAATAATCCTGTGAACATCTGAGCCACACTGCAGGGAGGGACAGAGCCTTTCTGACCCTAGCAGGAAGGAAAAGGAGAGAGAGGAAACCAGGTAGTGTGTGATCCGAGAGAAACCAAGCCAGGTATAAAGTTTAATTCATCCACAGGCTTTTTATCTGAGGACCAACAACCACCAACTATGTCAGGAATCTCAAAATTCCAAAGACAAAGAACGGTTTGGGGGCCCCTCTTGGGTGCTGTAGCTTACAGGAGCCACATGTGGAGAATGACAGCTGATATTCCCAACGTCCTTCTGACAGGCGCCAGGGGGGAGGGCTCAGGAGTTTGCTGTCCACTCTGCTCTGATCTCATTTTCTCTCTCTTCTTGCAGCTCCTGCCCACCCCTCCCTGAAACCCCACCTCCTATCCCCACCCACAACAAAGAGGCAGCTGCCCTTCCCCAGGCTCCAAGCAGCTGCAGGGGGCAGCACCTGGGCTCCAGCTTCCCTTGGACCTGCAAGACAGTGGGTCCCAGGGAGCCCCAGCTGCAGCAGCCTGCACCGGGGTGCCAAACCCGCCCAGCGGGACACAGGCCCCACGCTCCCATCTTCAAGTGAGTATCAGGCATCAGAGGCCCATGACCCCAGGATATCCTGGGGGAGGGTCTAGCAGTAACTCAGAGGGGTACCCAAGGGAACCAAGAGACTTCCAGAGCAGGAGCCCCAACAGAGACTGAGGACAGAAGGAGGAAGAAGGGACGGAAAGTCCAGGATGAGTCCTGGACCATCGAGGAGGAGGAACTTGAAGGAAGAGGCCAAGGCAGCCAGTGGAAGACAGCAAGGAAAGGAGGAGGAGTTGAAAGGGAAGAAACAGAGGAAAGAGGAGCAGAAGAGCTCACTCTGTAGTCAGAGCCTTACTGAGCATCCACTAGGTCATCCACCAAAGCCTTGGCCGATGAAGACGGCCGATGAAGACATCAGCGGCTGATGGGGGCATTGAGACGCTGGAAGGCTGGAACGGAGGGGAATGAAAGGGGAGAAATTACATACAGTCATACACTCTGACAAGATAGAAATGACCCAACTTTTAAAATGAGAGGAAGGAGAGAGAAAGGGAGGATCTAGCGAGGGGGAGGGGTGGGGGGAGGGTCCTGGGGCATCGTCAAAGCTGGAAAGAAAACAGTGGGAGCCCAGGTAAGGGAAAAGAGGAACCCAAGGAGTCCCATGAAGACTCACTAGACCAAAAATATAAGCCACCCTATATGCCCAAAGTAATGCATACGACGCATTTTCGAAAAGCAAACAGACCAAGTAAAGACACACAGCAAATATAAGAAACATACAACTGTAATATATACAAAATGGGACACAACAGAGATGGGTCATTATTATCTGTATTAATAAATCTGAATTCACTGCTAAAAAGGCTTTTCAGATGGACTCATGAGGCAAAACCCAGCAAACCCATTTGTAAGACATTACGCTTCCATGATTCAGAGGTGCTAAATGCAAGGAGGGGCAGGGAGGGATACCAGGCAAACACCCTCAAAGTGAGGGCAGGAACAGGATCTGGATGCCAAGGGAAGGGGACCTCAGGCCCAAATCCTTCAGGGACTGGGAAGGACACTTTGGGAGGGGTTCTGAGCATCAAAACTCACAGAGCTGGGACTGGTGGGCAAGCATGGAAAGTGACTCAAGAGGCCTGGGCCAGGCGACCGCAGCTTGGTTTGCTCAGTAGTGTTCAGGTTTTACAGCTATACATGTATAATAGCTATTTGGGATAGGAAATTTTATTATGGAGCTTCTTACAGAAAAAATAACCGCTGTGGCCAGACAGACACTGTCTAGCGCTTTTCACTTCTCTCTTCCCATAGGAATGACTGATTTTGCCACGGAATATCTGATAAACGCAGGTTCCCAGATACCTAATGGTCAAGTATTAAATGAATCAGCCAGTCCTATAAAAACTGACTTGTGTTAGGAAGCAATACAGTTTCTGTTCAACCCTATCCAAAGGGACTACTAGCATTTTCTTTCTGAGTCCTCTGGAACCTTCCAGCTGCAAACAATCAGAGTCCTGTGATCTGTGAGGCCCAGTCCACGCTTCCCCAGAGCCCAGGCGGAGACAGTGGGCTAGCAGCTTGGGTCTCCCTCCTCAGGGCAGCCACTGAACGGCAAACCCAGAACCGACAGCGCTGGGCCCATGATGTTCCCACTGACACCTCAGTGGCTCAAGCCCCAGGAAGTTTGACACAAATTATTCAGGTTTCTCAACTAAAGGACCCTGGGCTTGTACAAAAACAAATACATTCTTCCCTTAGTGAGTCCTCTCAGCACATGTTAGGGAGAGACCCCAGGTGGCTCAGGGGGTTACCGCTTCTGCTCTTGCCCACGGTTTGCTATGACCTGATGTCAGAACTCTAACGTCCCTTTTTACTCTTTCTGACGAGTGCTGCTTAGAAGCAACTTCTGTCTAGCTCTCCGTTTTTAGTCTCAGGAATCAGTGCAATGACAGAGCCAGCAAATGAAAATATTGCATTCACTCCAGGGGCCAAAATTTAGCGTAAACCAAGGAAGCTAAGACTCAAGTGTCATCTTGGAGTGAACTGGGGAACTCAGTCCATTGTCAGGAACATGAGCATTAGGACAATTTCTTACAAGGCACAGTGGGGGGTCTGAGGCTCCTCTGGTTTGGAACCAGGTCTCAGGACCCCACAGCATCAGGCCCAAGGCAGTTCTCTTGGCTGCTACTTTCCTCACTCCGGCCCCACTATCTCCCTCTTCTCCTCCCAAAGCTCTCCTTCCTCCTCCCTCCCTAGGTCAGTCATTTGCAGGCCACAGCCCTGCACTGAGCAGCGTTTTACATTTTCTGATCAGTACCTACTATATTAGAAATGTGGCCTTGCTTTACAGAATGGTTTGTGGTTGGCTTTCAAAATACACCCTGTTCTAGTCGAGGGGAGCGTGGGGGCTTTCCGCCCTTGCTCTTTCCCTGCGTGTGTGCCTGGCCTGGAGACCAGAGGCTGGAGTCATGGTCTGTGGACACCCTGCTTCTCACGCTGTGTTGGGGGAGTCCTGGGTTCTGGCTTTGCCCCACCTGTATAGACAGTGGTGTCTGTGGTGGTTGTCTGTCCAGCATCCACTTCCCCCCCTGCAGGACGGCATCTCCATTTCCTTCAAGGGAGCCTCCCTTCCCCAATCTGCAGCCACATGGCTCAGATGGGCTGACTCCATCTTGTTAATCATTCATGTAACAAATATTTGTTGGCGGCTTATCAGACCCTGCTCTGGGCCCTGGGACTGAAGCAGGGAACAAGGCAAGCCAATTTTCTGCTCTTGTGCAGCTGACACTTTAGTAGTGGAGATAATGGATACAAAGGTATCATAAGGGGTAAGCGTGGCAGAGAAGAATAAAGGCATCAATCTGGCTATTGCACTCCTTGGAATCCATCTGGGGATGGACCCATATGTCACATGGGCCCTAGGGCTCTGGTCTTGCACTGTGCTCCCTCTCCAGGGGTTTGTCATGCACGAGCCTGAGTTGCTAACAGCCATTCTTAGGGAGAATATTCGCGATGGTAACACCAGCCCACGGGAAAGCAGCACTGAGCCCAGTTCAGCAATACTGTTTGAATTCCTGGATCTAGCTGAGCCTGAAGCCCCTATTCTGGGCCCTTTTCAGTTACCTGAGCCAATATAAATGCCCTTTTTCTACTTAGGCCTCTATAGTTGAGTTTCTGCCACTTGTCATCAAAGATCCCTGGTTGGGACTGGAGCAAATGTCTACAAAGTCCCTTAAACTTCCAGAATTTTATGATGTTAAGACTCTGTACTCATAGTTTTGGTTCAGAAAGGATCATGCCTGCTGGGTAAGGTTTGGTGTCCATTATCTAGTGCCTGCCTTCCTTGACACACTGGACTAGATGATTTTTTGATAATCTTTTTAGATGCACCCTTTTTTTTTTTTTTTTTTTTTTTTTGATACAGAGTCTCTCTTTGTTGCCCAGGCTGTACATTGTGCCGTACATCAACCTAGCTCATAGCAACCTCAAACTCCTGGGCTCAAGCAATCCTTCTGCCTCAGCCTCTCAAGTAGCTGGGACTACAGGCATGCGCCACCATGCCCGGCTAATTTTTTCTATATATTTTAGTTGGCCAATTAATTTCTTTCTATTTATAGTAGAGACGGGGTCTCGCTCTTGCGCAAGCTGGTTTCGAACTCCTGATCTCGAGCAATCCACCCGCCTCGGCCTCCCAGAGTGCTAGGATTACAGGCGTGTGCCACAGCGCCCAGCCTATGAATTAATATGTATGCAAATAACAATCTCTCCAGTCATTCTTTATTCAGGGGAAACTGATCAATCTGAACAATTGACAGTGAAGATACCAACAGTAGCCTGGATACTGAGTTCTTTAAATCTTGATTCAAATTGAATTTTCATAATCTGCTGCGGTGAGTTAGCTACACTCCCAGAAAAACTGGGTCCCTTTTCAGGGGTCAGCGCAAGGGGTATGGAAGTGATAGAAATAGAAAATAGAGAATACAGAAATAAAAGAAGACACAGAGAGGAAAAGTATAGTCTTAAAAGATGGGGGAGTCAAGCGGTCCTCCAGCATTCCCATGAGCTGTGAGGCCCCGAGCAAAGTCCCGCATCAGTATTTATTGGTACAGTGGTCAATTGCCAGTGGTAACAGATTTACATAATAACAGGTAGTTCATTTAGGTTTAAAGTCTCCCCAGCTTCTAGAGAGCCCTTAATTAACTTTATGTGAGCAAACTTTACAAAATCTTTCTAAGATAACCTTCTAAGTCCTAAGATAACATTATCACTTAGTAGAAAGGCTAAACAGAAATATAGAACTTCTATATTTCTTTATCTAGTTTTTTGTTGATTGAGACAAGTAGTCAGGAGTGAAGCAGGAACTGTCCCTTAAGCCAATTGCCTCTAGCTGCAGGTGACCGTGGGGTAGGGAATTCTTTGATCAGTTCTCAACCTGTGACCACATACCAGAGCCTTGGCCTACAGAGGTATCAGGCAGGCCTCCAGGTCTGAGAGACAGGCATCAGCCTTGCAAGACACTCCTGACCGGTGAGATGCCCTCCTAAGGCGAGGCAGCTTTTGATCTGTGAACTAGCAGGTTCACAAATCCCTTCAAGGCAAAGCCCTGCAAAACTCCTGGAATATTTTATGTCTCTTATAGGCCAACACTCTACCATTTAAATTTTTTCAAATTTTTAATTTGAAGAAAAACTATTTAAGTGTGAAGGGAAACACATCTTACCTATGCTTCACAACCAGGAAGGAGCAAAGAGTAGTCCTTGGGGCAGGCACAGAACAGAATACTGCGTCTAGAGAACTCTGCCTCTAGCTGTACACCTTCTAAATGCAAGTCCCCTCTGCAGAGGCAAATACCATATGGGTTTTTAGCAAAATCTCAATGGAAACATTTCTTTTGCTTTAATTTTTAAAGTTATACACCAGAGTTCAGGATGTGGATAGCAGGGAGCATTCTTCATCCTGTATTGGCAATTTGAAGCTGGAGACACCTTTATATGAGTATCTTTCACCATGGGCTAGTTCCATTTGGAACATTTCAGAAACCCCTCCCTGGTACAGATACACATTCTCTAAATCTTGGGTAAAAATGGACCTTTTCTTTATTTTTAAATATATAATTTCTGAAAATCTCTCTGTAGTAGAAGTTTCATATTTTATCTATTTAGAACAGGATTCATGTACTAGTCTGCTCAGGCTGCCATAACAAAATACCATACACTAGGTAAACAGAAATTTATTTCTCACAGTTCTGGAGGCTGGAAGTATAAGATCAAGGTGCTAGCCAATTATGTTCCTGTGGTGAGGGCCCTCTTCCTGGCTTGCAGATAACCACCTTCTCACTGTGTCCTTGCATGGAAGGAGGAGAGAGAGAAGCATATATCTCACTTCCTCTGCTTATAAGGCCACCAACTTTATTGAATTAAGGCCCCATCCATATGACCTCATTTAACCTTACCTCCTAAAAGCCTTATCTCTAAGCACAGTCGCATTGGGGTTACGGCTTCAACATATAATTCTGGGAGGACAAAATTCAGTCCATAGCACCTCATGTTGAGTAACTGTTCACTGGGGTATAAATCTCCCGTTTAAGGTGATCATAAGAATGACTGGCACTGTCACAGGAAGTACAAACGAGCTTACTTTAGAAAGGACAACTGCGACATCTCAGGAAATGCTAAAAGCACTTTTGTTGTCACACATAGTAAAACTTTATGATATAGCTTCTTTTAAAACTGTGTGGTTTTGAGCACACTCACTTCACCTGTACTACCATACAGACTTTGAAAACCAATATCCACCCAGCCCTCACCTCTCTATTCTCTGAAGTCCAAAACTAAAGCAATCAAGAGTTTTAAAAACAAACCA